CACTGGGGCAGTTCTACCCTATGCCCTAGGGTCTCTGTGAGGTTGGCGAGTCTTTCAGGACAAATCAGTGTGTCGATATTCTCAGTGCGCTAGTTTTTCCAACTTGTTGGTCAGCAACAACCCACCGCGTGGAGCGTAAGTAAAAGTGCCAGTGCTGGGGGTGGGGGAGGGCGAGGCCCCTAGCTCTGTGGGCTAGGCGTTGGGCTGCTAACCTGAGGGTCGGTGGTTCAAACCTAACAGCGGCTCCAAAGGAAAAAGCTGGGGCAGGCTGCTCTTGTAAGACTGACCACCTCAGAATCCCCACGCGCAAGTCCTGAGGTTGCTGGGAGTCGGAATCACCAACAGCAGAGGTGGTTTTTCTGGATGTTTCACTAGTGAATGTAGACGTGTATAGTTGTAGGTTTGGTTTCCAAAGTGCCTTCGCCTTTGCTCCCTCTCCACCATCAATCTCGCTCTCCCGGCCCTGAAGCTCCTCGTCCCGCTGGATCACTGTGCGCTCACCTCCTTTCCTTTAAGAAGCTGAGCAGCCAGAGGTGGCCCCTCCCTCTCGCCCTGGGTGCATCTAGCAGAAAGTGGAGGGCGTGAACCCAGGATTCCTAATGTATGCTTGGAAAGCTACAGACTGCACAGATTGGTGTAGTTCCCATCGCCTCCAGCAGAGGGAAGCCGTCTTCTGTAAATGGGGACAGAAGGACGGAGTAGAACTGCCCCTGAGCCCCCAGACTGTAACTATTCAGGAGTAGAAAGCACCGTCTCTCCCGTAGAGTGGCTGGTGGTGTCAAACTGGAGACCTTGCAGTTAGCAGCCCAACTCGTAACTACTACACCACAAGGGCTCCAGGGAAATCTTCAAGGTCCCCTTTGTCCCTAGGCAGCCTTCTGGATGGGTCCCAACTGACTTTACTGGGTGAGAGGAGGCCTCCCCCTGGGCTTCGTGGGAGCAGTAATAAGTACCACAAACTAAACTCTTCTGTGCCAAAGGATTTACATGACTGACGATAGACAAGGAAGGGCCCTCTCAGCCTACATTCATCGAGCCGAGGTCTCTTCCACCAGAGCTCGTGAGCCTTAAGGTCCGAGACCCAACATTACACTCAGTAGATTCTCGTGGCTAGAGAGTGCGTATACAAAGAATCCAGGTGGCACCGTGGGTAAGTACTTGGCCACTAACCTAAAGGTCAGCAGTTGGGACCCACCAGCCACTCCGTGGAAGAAGAGTTGGGGATCTGCTTCCATTGAAAGCCTATAGATCACCCTGAGTCAGAATCCACTGGACAGCAGACAATAGATAGAGATAGGAGGTTCCAGAGAGCTCAGGGGGAAAGGAAGCCTCGCCACCACCCAGCTCCCGATCCAGGGTACGGGCGCCCTTACCGGTGTCTTGTGGCCCTTCACTGCCTAGGTATCCGGGTACTGGATGGGCCGCTGACCGACAGCATGGAGGCTGTGGCGTTCAACAAGCACTATCAGATCAATGACATCTACAGCTGCAGGTGAGGCCAAGGAACCAGGGGGAAGGCCGGAGCCTTGAGACTGGCGCTCGGCCTTCCCCGAAAGTCGGGCACACGGCACTGGCTCAGCGGCTCTTGCAGGGTCTCTTCAGGGGGGTCAGCATAGGAGGAGGCTGAAGTACATCACTCTCATTTCTCCAAAGCCCCAGCCACTGGCTTCTCCAGCTTCAGCCCCACGTTTAGAACCAAGTGTTACCCCAGGAATCAAGTGACTGCAGGAGTTGTGTTTGCAGCCTGCCCCCACCCCCCAAGGGCCATGGTTTGTTGTTCTTCCCTCTAAGCCAGGGATGGAGAAACTTCTCTGCCAAGGGCCATTTGCATAAGTATAATATCATTCGCAGGCCATACCAAATTATCGACTCAAAAATTAGCCCGCTGTATTTGGTCAAACATTTCATTAGCCGGCCCCTGGAACTGCTAGGTGATGGCTGGACTGCTTCTCTTTGGGGAAGCATGTTGCTGGTGGTTCAGCCAGATGTTCGCTTTAAGCCCATCAAGCCTCTAGGAGGAAGTGGGCTTCCAGTACCAACCTGTGCCACCTGCACCCATGAGTATGCATGCAGCTTCAGGTAGGATGAGGGTAGGGATGGAGAAGGACGAACTGCCCCGGTGGCATTGATGGCACCTACACTTTCCCATAATCAGTCTCTCCCTTAAGCCCATGACCTCACCCCGCAGGCACGCTCCCTCATAAAGAAGGAACAAAGCCCGCCTCAGCCTAAGGGCCGTTGGCCGTCAAGCCCAGTATTAAGATTACTAGTTCAGGAGCGGGCGGCTCCCTCTCCCTGTCCCCCACTGTGTGCTCTCTGCTGCTTTCTGGAACCCAAAAAGGACTTTTATGAAGCACATGAAGGTAGTCCTAAACTTGGCAAGTTTCCCAGAAGTCCCCGCGCACGACCTTCTGTTCCCCACGTTGAAGAGAGGCAAGGGCCTTGATTCCTCTGCAGTGCAAAGGCCCAGTATGGTAATTCGCCCCTGGTGTGTTATCTCAGGGTTTGGAACGGAAACTCTTAGGAGGAGGGAGGTTAAGAGGCCCAGGCCGTGGGGTGGTCGGCCAAGCCCAGGAGAGGTCACGGGTGGCTAAGCACAGTCTGGCTCAGGCCCTTCATTCTGGGTATCCCTCTGCAGCTGGGGCCCAGATGATGACGGGAAGACAGTGGATGGACCCCATCATCTTGGAAAGGTAACGGTGAGACCGTCAGGCAGTCGCATAACCTCTCCAGCCGGACTCTCCCCAGCCCACCCCCATCTGCAGCACCAGCCCCATGCCATAGCCCGACTGCCGCTCTTAGGCAGAGGGTGGGCCACCGGGAGCACCAGTTCTCAGAGGTGGAAGAAGGCTTTGAGAGCGCCTCCCTTGGATTTTGCCCCCCATTCCCAGCCCTGTCCCTGTCCTCAACTATTGTCAGATAAGCAGGGCGTCCAGCACGCAGCTGCTCCGCCAGCAGCTTCCCTGCCCCAGGCGTTCATCTTGGGAGTCTCCCCCCTGTGCCCGCTGCCCTTTGAACCTTTCCCCATCGGTCGTTCTAGGAGGGGAGGAGAAGGTGACTGGTGTGGGCAGCAGGATGCCTGATATGTTTGGGGTTTGCTCCTCAGGCCGCCTTGCAGCACGGGGTGATGGCTGGCCGCCAGGGATTTGGGAGCATCTTTGTGGTCGCCAGCGGCAATGGGGGCCAGCACAACGACAACTGCAACTATGACGGCTACGCCAACTCCATCTACACAGTCACCATAGGTAGTCCTCGGCGCCTGCCTCTCTACCTGGGGGCGGGGGAGGGGTCGTGGGGTGGCCCCATCAGTCCCCGTGGGCTGATTCTATCCTCTACGCTCAGATTGTTAGGAGAAACCCGACCCATCAGAGGAGCCCCGGTGGGTGCCGTAGTGGTTAGGTTGGTCCACTATCCGCGAGGTCAACAGTTGGAAACCTCGGGAGAAAGACGAGGCTTGTCCCCTCCCATAAAGAGTGACCGTCTCAGAAACCCACAGGGGCAGTTCACCGAGAGTCCGCATCGACTCGATGCCAGTGGAGTCGGAGAGATCCGCTCTCAGAACCCCCTGAGGTACCACGACCTCGCTGTACCGGGCAGAGAGACCCCGCCTGCCCCTCCCCACAGCTGGGCAGCCTCGACTCCGACATCTTTTTCCAGGGCCCACTTGCCTCCACCTGGACCCTTCACCGACTCCCCTCTGGCCTGAGCCCAGCACCTGCCACTTGCACCGGAGCTCTAGCCCAGGGGTTCTCAAACTTTTTAAACGGGACCAGTTCACTGTCCCCCCCGTTGGAGGGCCAAACTATAGTTTAAAAAAAAACTATGAACAAATTCCTATGCACACTGCACATATCTTATTTTGAAGTAAAAAAACAAATGGGGCAAAAATACCCGACGGGCTGGATAAATGTCCTCAGCGGGCCGCATGTGGCCCACGGGCCATAGTTTGAGCCTAGCCTGTGGCCCACCCCCCCTCACCATGCTTGGTTGCTGCCCCAGCCTGCTCCCCACCATATGCTCCTTGAGATCGGGCCCATGGCCCCTCCCCCAAGGCCCAGTGCTGGGCACAGCACAGGACTCACAGTCGAGCGACGAATGTGAGGAGCTGCAGGGAGAGTGGACGAGAAGGCACATGGTGCAGTGCCTCCGGTTCCTCTCCGGAGCCTGTAAAGGAGGCTGCCTGTTCAGCTCAGGGGCCTGGGCCACAGCCTCTGGATGAATCCTCAGAGATGACACCACCATTACCCGGTCCCTGGGAGCCAGGAGCCTGGGGGGGACGGGTTCAGATGGGCTACTAGCCCACCCAACAGCCCCACAGACGGCTCCATCAGCGTTACTGCCGTGAAAACCCAAAGGAGCACAGTCCACCCTGACGCTCAGGGTCCCCGTGAATGGGAGCAGCACCAGTGGGTTTGGGTCCTGTGGGCACTCTGTGGGTTAGAGCTGGGGCCATTCCACGGGAGAAAGATGAGAGGCTGTCCTGCCTAAAGCTATAAAGGAAACCAACCCCTCATAGGGTCACTGTGGTTTGGAATCAACTGGATGGCAGAGGGCCGGGGCTCTTTGGGTGTTTTGTTTATGTGTTTATTTATCTATTTGGGGGGTCTGGGTGGGTTTGCCAGAGGACTGACTCCCTCTCTCGGCGCTCTCCCCCAGGCGCTGTGGACGAGGAGGGGCGGATGCCTTTCTATGCAGAGGAGTGCGCCTCCATGCTGGCAGTCACTTTCAGTGGCGGGGACAAGATGCTGCGCAGCATTGTGAGTGCCCCGGCCCCCGCCCTGCCCGCTGCCTAAGGCTGCCTGGCCTGACTCCTCCATCCCTGTGTGCCTGGCAGGCCTCTCGGCCTTCTTCCTAGCAGACCTGTCTGCCCAGGACTCCGAGGAAAGCCGCCTAAATGGTTCTTATGTATAAGATCTGGTAACTTACGGGTATGCCTGTCATTATAAGAGCAACTCAGCATCGCTTGGGAGGAAGATGGGCTCTCTACTCCCGTAAAGAGTTGCAGTGCTGGCCTGTTCTGTAGGGTCCCGATGAGTCGGAGTGGGCTCAATGGCAGTGAGTTTGGAAGCTTCACGTGGATTAAGCAACTTCTTTGGGAAGTCTCAGTGGGTGGAAGGTATGCTGGGGGTTGAAGAACTGAGCGTCCTCCCGTGGCGCTCCATCCCCTGCATGACCTCTGAGTTCTCCTGTTCGTCCCAGGACGGAACCTTGGTGGTCTTTATGGGCTAGACGGGAAGCTCCTGGCATCTTTCCGAAGCGCTGGGCTCGGAGACCAGAGCGAGGGAGTGGTGCTCAGCTCGGGGTTCCGGTGCACGGTCTGGAACCCAGGGTGTGCCACTCAGTTCTGCTCCACTCCTCCCCAAGGTCCTTGGCCTGACGTCCTAGAACTCCTGCTTCCCAGTCAGAGTGATGTGCAGTGGAAGGCTCTTCAAAGTCCCGGGCGGGAGCCCCACTAGGTCAGATGCCTCCAGTGCCCGGGGTTCGAGGTCACCCAGGGACCACTGGGAATCAGACCCTCGGGTCATCCTACCGGGTCAAATTCAGTTCCCCAAACTGACAGCTCCTTTTGCCAACAATGACTTCTGGTCGACACAATGTTCTAAGGCTCAGTGCCAGGTGACCCCCACCACCTGGCACCCTGGGGAGAAGAGAAAGGGGAGGGGCCTGAGGCCAAACAGCTGGCTGGCTGGGGTCTGTCAACAGAGGGCACCCCCCAGGCCAGGTTTGGAGGAAGAGCTAGAGCATGCTTCGCTCGTCACCCCCGGAGGGGACCACCCACCTCCCGGGCACCGTCGTCCCCACCAGGGTCCAAAGAAATCTTCCTGGGGTGCCCCACACCTGACCTCAGAAATGCCTGGCTCCTCTCTTCTGGCTGCAACCTAACTCAACTCCCCCACTCTCCTCCCCCACCCCTAGCTGAACTGTAGAGTGGCCAGAAAGGAGAGCGGGCCTAGCTGAGTTCCCATGTTTGGAATGTCTTTTTCTTGGTGTCCGTTTCTGTTCAGTGGCCAGTGCAGCAGGGCGGAGCTGTCTTGCTGAGGGCAGGCCGTGCACAGAGGCAAGGGCTTCCCACCACGGGCTGTCTGTGGACTTTTCCCTGGACTCTGTGGTGCCAGCCAGTGGCGCCTGCCACCACCGCCAGTTCAGACATGAATTCACAGCCCCACAGCTTGGTGGCCACCATGAGGCGTTTCCTTAACAGGAGACATCCCTCTGCTCCCCGGCCTGCACCAGGCCTCCTGGCTCTCCTGGAGGAGCGCGTCTGCGTGCGTGCGCCGACATGGCCTCTCTTGGCAGCTGCTGTGGCAGCCTTGAGGGAAGCTGGGAGGAGAGTGGAGGAGGGGCAGCTCTTGGCAGAAGTCAGCACCCTGGTCTCTGACCAGAAGGGAAGCGTGGAAGGAAGGCATCTCTGTCTAGGGCACCAGGGGCAAAGGGCCCGCCCTTCCACATAGCAGAGGGCAGACCCCGGCAGGACCCTCCTCAGGAAAGCCCTGGTGGCTCCAGGATTGATGCCAGACAATGCCTCCCACACCCATCGGCTGGCCTCCCTCCTCCGAACCTCCGAACCAGGTGGTGAAGGGAAACCCAGCCAAAACAGCTGGCCCCGAGCCGAGAAGCCGCTGGTCCTGTGGACGGCCGGGCCAGCGGTGTCGACAGTAAGCCACACTGTGCCCACAGGGTGTGCAGGGGGACAGCGCTCTCTCCCTGGGAACAAACGGCCTTTGTTCACACTGATGTCAGCCTGGCCCCTGTCTTGGAGCTGCT